TACACTATATTAAAGTTACCTTCAAAATTACAGTTTAAGGCTGGCATTTGTCACATTCTGTTTGCAAATTCTCCATCCCAGACTTTGATAAAAATTAGACAGAAGTCTTGGTGCCATTAGAACTGCACACATACTATTAACTCAATTTAGGAGATTTTAGTCTCCTAAATAAAGTCTCCTAAACCTATAAGTAGGTTTATCCTTCTTGTCACCTCTTCAACACCGAGTCAGGAAATATGTACCTGGCCCACAATCTTTTGGCTCTTTAAAATGTCTATGCTTACTCAGACATTTCTCGCAGCAATATTTTTTCTGATAATCTCCTTGGGCAAAGGAAGCAAAAGAAAAAAAAATCAATACATGGGACTAGATCAAACTAAAAAGGTTTTGTACACCAAAGGAAACCATCAACAAAATGAAAAAACAACCCACTAAAAGGGAGAATATGTTCACCCATGATACATCTGATAAAACGTTAATATCCAAAATTTATAAAGAACTCAAACAACGCAACATCAAAAAAGCAACCGAATTAAAAACTGGGCAAAGGACCTGAACAGACACGTCTCCAAAGAGGACATGCAGATGGCCAACAGACATAGGAAAAAATGCTCAGCATCATTAATCATCAGAGAAATGCGAATGGAAACTACAATGAGTTATCACTTCACACCTGTCAGAATGGCTATCATCAATAAATCCACAAACAGCAAGTGTTGGCGAGGATGTGGAGGGGAACCCTCGTGCACTGCTGGTGGAAATGCAGACTGCTGCAGCCACCGTGGAAAACAGTATGGAGTTTCTTCAAAAAATTAAAAATGGAACTGCCTTATGACCCAGCAATTCCACTTCTGAAAATATATCCAAAGAAACCTGAAACACCAATTTGAAAGAATATATGTATCTCTATGTCCATTGAAGCCCTATTTACAATAACCAAGATTTGGAAGCAGCCCAAGTGTCCATCAGTAGATGAGTGGATAAAAGAGCTGTGGTACATTTACACAGTGGAATACTACTTGGCCATAAAAAAAGAGGAAAATCTTACCTTTCATTACAGCATGAATAGACCTAGAGGATATTATGCTAAATGATATAAGCCAGTCAGAGAAAATACCATATGATTTCACTTATAAAGTAAACAAAATAGAAACAAAATAGAAACAGACTCATAGATACAGAGAGCAGACTGACAGCTGTCAGAGAGGGGAGGGGCTGAGGGGTCCGGTGAAATAGAGGAAGGGATCAAGCAAAAACAAACAAACAAAAATAAACCTCAAAGATACAGACAACAGTATGGAGATTTCCAGAGGCAACGGGGGTTGGAGACAGGTAGAAGGTAAAGGGGGGATAAATGGTGACGGAAGGAGACTACACTTTGAATGGTGGACACAAAATACAATATACAGATGATGTATTATAGAATTGTACACTTGTAACCTGTATAATTTTATTAACCAATGTAATCCCAGTAATTCAATTAAGAAAAAAAGAAGATCCTCACCTACACTATAAAATAAAATATCTGCCATTGGCACTGGGTGGAAGTTGAACAGATACTTGTTAAACACGTGAATAAGTGAAGGAATGAAAGCCTTGGGTTCTCCCACCATTCTAGGTTGTAAAATGGAAAGAGAATAAATAGCCTTGGGAATCAGCCAGATTAGGGTATGATTCCTGGTTCTGCTACTTGCTCTACTCCAGGCCTCTGGGGCTCCACAGTGAAAAGGAAGGCAGCCCAGAGAAAACGTCTGTATTAGTTTCCTGTTGCTGCTATAACAAATTACCACAAACTGAGTGGCTCAAAAACATCTGTATTAGTTTCCTGTTGCTGCTATAACAAATTACCACAAACTGTGTGGCTCAAAAAAAAAAAAAAAAAATCACCACACACACAAGAAAACCCCCACAACCTGGGCATGCGCCCTGACCAGGAATATGGTTCTGGAGACCAGAAGTCCAAAACGGGCCTCACTAGGCTAAAACCAAGGTGTTGGCAGGGCTGGGTTCCTTCTGAAAGCTCTATGGATAGAATCCATTTCCTTGTCCCTTCCAGCATTTGAAGGCCACTCACATTCCTTGGCTCATGGTGTTTTCTCCGTCATCAAAGCTACCAGTGCAGCATCTTTAAATCTCCCTCTAACCCTCCTCCCTCCCTCTTCTATCTTTAAGGACCCATGTGACTGCACTGGGCTCATCAGGATAATCCAGGACAATCTCTCCACCTCCAGGTTCTTACCTTAATCGCATCTGCAAAATTCCCTTTTCCCTGTCAAGTATCATGCTCACAGGTGCCAGTAATTAGGACATGGGTGTCTATGAGAGGGAGGGGTGAGGGTGTCACCCCGCCTGCCACAGTCCCAGCAGCTACAATGATCTGGTTTGTCCGACAGTGATGGGAAGCATCCTCATTCGCCCCCAGGGTAACACAGAAAATGCATGAAAAGAGCTCCCAGGGAGTCTATTCCACCACAAGAGCAGTAACTGGTTGTCTTCTGGGAAGGAATTTATTTCTGTCTGAGGGTGACTCATTGGTCTTTCACGGTGGGGCAGTGGAATGGTCTGGATTCTCCTTCGGACTCCTTAGATTTTGTGAGACGGCATCAACTCCACTACCGCTTGGTTGAATGTTCACGTAAATGTGCACTTGGCCAGAAGTGATTCCTTTACTGGAACCCTGAACTCAGTGCTTCACACCACCCATCAAATCTTGGGTGGGAGAAACCCTTCAAGGAGACCCAGTCCCCTGAGAGATGGGCCGTCCAACCACACCTTTCAACTGGCAGCAGACTAAGTCAGACTACTTCCTCTGGCCCCAGGATATTTGCTTTCACTCTATTTTGCTTTACTCTGGTGCTGTTAGACTATGCTAGAGATACACCTTAAGGAAAAGAATCGAGGAAATAATAGCATTCAGTGTCACAATTTTGTTGAGGATGTTCATTACACTTCTGCATACATTTCTCACAAGAAATCACCAAGAAATAGTCCCCAGGTCTCAGAACTTGGTACTAGTTATGATTCTCTGTAATAACTGGTTTATTTCCTCCCAGTGAATACTAGCTCACGTAGCTGGTTATTGTCCCCTATTTGCACTCAGTATAGGAAGTGAAGTACCGAGACTATTGTCCGTCTTCAGCAAAGCCTTAGGACATCAGAGCCTGCATTGTGTGTGCCAACTTATTTTCCCACCCTTATTGTCCCATTTCCCCAGTTCCTTCATCTGTTTCACAGTTTAGTTCTTATAGTTGTAATGTCTGTAAGCCCAGAAAAAGGCATAGTACAAACTTTTATTTCCAGAGATTTTTTTCTGTCTTGTGAGACACGTGCCTCTGACACATAGTCTTTGCTCCAGAAACCAATTCAAATGAAGAGTATAACACCACGAAAGGAAGCATGATTGGTACCAATGTTTAAACACTGAATCTCAGCAGAACGGGGCTTAGCATCATCGTAAAGACTGCCGCTTACGTTGATAATATGCAAACAAGTCTCCAACGCTTTGCGTGCTGAGCACACTAAAATCGTAAATGCCAGAATTTTAAATGGCTTGCTTGCTGTTAGCACATTAGCTGGCACTGAAATCTATTTCTTTTCTAAGGGGTGTTTAGCTTTTATTGTATCTTTACTCATGGTCAAAAGACATGAGCAAATTTGCTAAAATGATTGAAGATATTCTTGAGGCATTCCTAAAAGTTCATCTCGTTGCCTTCCAGCTTTTTATCTGTGAGCTTGTCGTGTCAGAAAGGGAAAACAGAAATATGCTTTATACTACGGAGGGTTCTGATAACAGTAAAAAGTCAATATTTTTAAAAATCAACGTTAGCATGACCTCCAGAGAAAATATCTTCAAGGTAGACCAAGCGTATGACTTCACATTTCTGATGAGTTCATCACACCATAGCATCACCAACGGTGAGAACCTCTCCAACCCTACTAGTGGTATATCAGGACTTCTTGTCTTGATCTCTCACCCACACAGGCCAGAACATAGTATATGTTCAATAAATACTTGTTGAATTAATGAGTGATACCTCTCACCCTCAGAAAGACTGGAGTTCCCCTCCAACCACAGTAGACCATGTCGGGAACAGAGTGCTTGCCATGTAGCTGGTGTGCAGTGTGCACTCAGGGCCTGTCCGCGAGACACATCCGAACCATGGAAGAAGTTCCTGCCATCCCTGTACTCCGGAGCAGCAGCTCCTAGCTCCATCACTTTCCCCCTTGTCAAAGACACCCCTGACGGATGACGTCGCCTGTGCAACTCCCCTCCCAATGTATGTAAAATTTCCATCATGCGAGTACAATCTGTCTCCCTCTCTCCCACCCTAGAAAATACAACCAAGTACAAATGAATAAGGATGTCATTAACATGGGAACCATCTCGAATTCGTGGCAATGTATTGAAAGAGTAGATCATCCACCATTTTGGCATTTCAAATAACAGTAGTGCGGGACCATGAGGCAGCTCAGAGTGACTGATGGAAACAGCTCACTGCAATGCCAAGACAGAGTGCCTCTTTTTTTTTTCCCCCTTTATTGATTTTAGAGAGGGAGAGAGAGATAGAAACATCAATGAGAGAGGACATCGATTGGCCGCCTCCTGCATGCTCCCCACTGGGGATCGGTCCCACAACCTGGGCATGTGCCCTGACCGGGAATTGAACCAGCGACCTCTTGGTGTATGGGTCAACGCTCAACCACTGAGCCACACCAGCTGGATGAGAGTACTTCTTACAGAAACCATCTCCGAGACCCCCTGAGTCCTAACATGCCATCTTGGGGACCTTCCCAAACTCCAGAGGAACCATCTCTCAGGCGCACCCTATCCATAATGCAATCATCTATACAACTTCCTCCATTCATGTGAGCCTTGCCAGAACCATAGAGTTCATCCCTGCTGATGGACACAGCTCACATAGGAGTCTCATTGTCACTGGGTGTCCCTCCACGTTCACCATCATGACCGCGAGGAAGGGGATCACAAGCCGCCAACTTACCACACCGCCGCCCGCCGAGTGCACCAGCACGGACATCCCTTCTCGGAGATTGGCGACTTCGAACAGCATCATGTAGGCTGTGACGAAATTCATGGGGAAGGCAGCAGCCTCGGAGAAGCTCATGTCATCCGGGATCTTGTAGACAAATTCCACTGGCGTGCAGACCACCTCTGCCCAGGCGTTGTAATTGACAAATGCCATGACTCGGTCCCCGATCTGGGCAGAGGACAGCACAGGGTTAGTAGAGGCTTATAAATCTGTCTTTGAGGGTTTCTCAAATACTCAGTCATCTGAATGAAAATGATAGATTCCTCCCCAGAAAAAACAACCACAAAAAAGCCCAAACCCTCAAATAGGCACATTCTCACCTGCCTCCCAATTTCAAGGCATTTTTTTAATGCACTGAAGCCCACCTATGAAAAATTCCCAGGGGCCATGGAGTCCAGGTTCTCCACGCCTCTTCTCGAGCATAAATATACAACAGGGAGCACATCACACACCACGGAATGTTTCTGCAGAGGTCATTTCACTGAGTCCACCTCTCATCTCATCCCTCTGTTTGGAGCGGAGAAAAACTGAGCCACAGGAAGTTAGTGGGGCAAGGCTAGGAGTAAAGCCTCCTCCTGTTTGTCCTCCGCCACCCCACATGGATGCCCAGACAGGCCAGTTCACTGTGCTGTTTGCGTCGAAGGTTAGCCTGCATTACCAGTCATGGTGGCCACGAACATGGCACATGCGAAGAGCCACGTAAATCTAAGTGGAGGAGACTGGGCAAGAGCAACCAGGCTTAGAGCCAAGTAGGAATATGCCACCTGGTGTGACAACAGCTACCATTTATTGGACATATACTGTATGGCAGGCATTGTCCTAAAAACATCACAGGTTTTTTAACTCGTGTTATCTGTACAAAACCCCTATAAAGGAATGGCTGAGTAATGCGTTTTATTTATCCGTAGTTTACATAGCCAAACACCACGCAAAAATTTTAAAAGCACAGTCTTCCCTGGAAAGCGGTCACGATGGTATGCTAAGTCGTGCAAATAAGTGAACTAACGCTAATGGCCTGTGGGAGCTACGAAGTGCCAGCTAAATTAATCCACTCTGCTATTTGCTGTGACTCTCAAATGCAATATTGAAATTGCTGTGGTTATAATAAATTCACAATAAATGAATGGCTCTCCTATATGTGTGTTTTACTGCATGTTTATGTTTATAATTGATTCTCCTTTTTGAATTTCTTTGTGGCTTAGCATTTCTCTTCTACCCCTATTCTACAAACATCATCAAAAGCCTCCTATGAGATGGGTTCTGTAAGAATCCCATATTACAGATGAATGATTATAGATTTTAGACATTTAAATCAACCCCAAGGGAGCTTAAAGAATACGCCCCAGGTCGTGTAGCTAGCGAGCAGCTGGTCCAGGATTTGAATCTAGGCAAGCTGACTCCAGATAAAATAATTAATTAATGACACCTGAGATAAGTACTACCAAAAAAAAAATACAATAAGTTACATAACTTGGTACCTACCAAGTCTGGGAATGTTCATTTAACTCTTTAAGCCTCAGTCTCCTCAGCTCTCAAATGGGTACAATATTAGGAAAGGGTCCTTATGAAGATTAAATGACATAACACACATGCGATGCACTGGGCGGTGTGCATGTAAAATGAGGAAAGAGTAAGCGATGTTAACTCTTACAAAGATTGGCTCCTGATCTCATGGGGTTCACAGTGTGATGATCAAAAGCGAAGTAAATACAGGCCCATTATACTTGATGACGCAGAAGGAATCGCTGTCTAACGAAGAAAGTGATGGAAAGGAGCGGCTGTCAGTGTTGAACCAAATGACAAACGTCGGAAATATCACCTTAAACACACGACTTGGACCAGAGGACCGCTGCGGTCTGAGACCGACATCCTCTTCTGCCCAGGCTCCTGAGAACCCACAGATACAGACTCAGCACCCCGGAGGAGCCGACGGCCTCCAGTGTCGCCACGGAGCGTAATGAAGAGTATCTCAAGCACCTTGGCAGTGAGGGTCACAGCCGGGCTGACCGCCTCCCTCTTTTCCATCTCATTATGAAAATGGCAAAAGTGGCTAAGCCACCAGAGCAGCCCCTGTCTCAGAGTTCAGAGGTGGGCAACTTTAGAACAATCCAATTCACTTCATTATTTGATTCTGTTAAGAAAAAAAGAAAAAGAAAAAAAAAAAAAAAAACATCCTGGATGACTGAGACCAAATTATTCCTTTCCTGCTGGCCGCTGGCAACACGTTTCAAGCTTCTCTTGCAATCGATCAACAAAGAGAGCTATTCAGTGTGAATTCCGTCTCCAGGTGATTGAAAAATCTCAAGTCAAAGTTATAGAGGGAATATTAGTATTGGTTTTTTCCTAAATCACACCTTGACTGGAAACCTGTAGGTGGCATCTTTTATTTGTGCAGCTGGAAGTCACTGGGGGGAAGTGGGGTGAAGGACAGGTTTGCCAATACGCAAGCCAGAGCTAACTAGCAGAAGAAAGGTCGTGTATATAAGGGATAATATATGTAATCAATCAGAGTAAGTCCTCCCTCTAAGCCAAAGCCAACCACATCCCCATCACCTGTTACATTCTAAAATATTGGCTTATTTATCCAATGCTCAGAATTAATATACTGGTATGATCTCTTCCTTTGGGACCACGTGGAGGAATGAAGAGCAGATAATATTTTTTATATGCAGCACTTTCGGGGACAGATAGTGCAGCCTCTGGTTATATTGCTTATCTGGGGACAGAAAGTGTAAAGCCAAACAAAAGAAAAGGCACACATACTTCTTGCTCCATATTTTTCTGCTATATTATACAAAAACCATTGGCCAAAAGACTGATAGGTGGGAATAGATTTCCAGACATTCGTCACAATGAATTTGGAGCGTACTGATATTTGCAGAGTACACCGAGGCTCGGATGCATCGAGACTGAGTGGCGAGGTCACGTTCAGCTCCGAGGGCGGTCCAGCATCACATTTCGTAGGATTTTCCTCCCTGCACCTCGTGTTGCAGCATTTGCACATCGGGAGCAAGGGCAGAGACCACAGGATGGTGCAAAGTGACTTGAATCTAGGGTCACCTACTACTTACCGCTGTTTGGACCTCGCAGAAAATTCCTGAACCCTGCTGAACCTCATCTCGAAGGAGATAATGACAGTCTTTACCGCGCAGGGCTGCGGTGAGGCTGAGCAAAGATGACTTGCCCGTGTTTCCGGTTCCAGCGGATTCTCAGATGTTAGCTCCGTTCATGTCTCCCTGGGGAAGCACTTAGTGACAAGCGAGAGCTCTTGTACCTAATTTCCATTGGTTTTTCCTCCGACTCCACACTGCTGCAATCTTGTGTGATTGATCTGCCCAGAGTTTTTCAGTTTTTATAGACCGGATTCTATTTTATTGTATTATTATTTTATTATTTTTTTTTATCCTCACCTGAAGACATTTTTCCATTTTTTGTTCAGATAGAGTGGGAGGGAGAGAGAGGAACAGAGAGAGAGAGAGAAACATCGACGTGAAAGGGACACATGGAGTGGCTGCCACCCGCACGACAAACCAGGGCCAGGGACAAACTGCCACCGAGGTACGCGGGTCTCTCTGGACCACAGGCCAACGCTCTAACCGCTGAGCCAAACCCGCCAGGGCCACCTTCTATTTTATTTGCATTATAATGACAGAAAGGGTCCTATATCTTTTCACCATTTAATTATTTTTTTTATTATGGAGAATTGTGAACATGTACAAAAGTCAGAATAATATAGTAATCGCTTTTATCCATTGCCCTACCCCCAAACCCATCGACCCATGGCCAATTCTGTCCCACTGTCAGGTACCCCTACCCTGTGGCTTTAAAATTTCACCCCAAAATGCCACTTCACCCAGGTCTAACATAATGATTTTTTTTTTATCCTCACCCTAGGACATTTTTGCATTTATATTCAGATAGAGTGGGAGGGAGAGAGGAAGGAAGAGAGGGAGAAACATCAATGTGAGAGAGACACATCGAGTGGTTGCCACCCACATGACCCCAACCAGGGCCAGGGACAAAATGCAACCGAGGTACGTGCCCCTAGCGGGAACCAAACCTGGGACTCTCTGGTCTGCAGGCCAACGCTCTAACCGCTGAGCCAAACTGGCCAGGGCATTACAAATGATCATGTAAATGTATCAGTTACGTAGATATTTAAAGGAATCAAATCATGAAAATATATTGGCCATTTCTCCCCAACTTCTGTGGTTTGTAATTGATTTTTGAGCTGGAAGTGATGGACAAGTGGGAACCAAGGGTGGGAGGAGGAGGTATGCACACTTTAGTTAATCCCAGGCCAAATATTTTTATTTAATTGCTGTGTAACATGAATAAAGGGGATGATGAGATATCCCCTGGCTAGGAGCACCAAGATGGTACATGAGAAAGGCATGAGATGTTTGGGAAGTCCTATCATTTATAAACACTGTTAATAAAACCAAAGAACTACAACCAAGATTACTCTATCTTGCAAAGCTATCATTTAGAATCAATGGACATATCAAGAGTTTCCCAGACAAAAAAAAGCTAAAGGAGTTCATTACTACTAAACCAGTATTATATGAAATGTTGACGGGTCTTCTTGAAGAAGATAAAAAAATATGAACAATAGCCCTGGCCGGTTTGGCTCAGCGGTTAGAGCGTCGGCCTGCGGTCAGGAGAGACCCGGGTTCGGTTCCCGCTAAGGGCACATATCTCAGTTGCAGTTTGTCCCCGGCCCTGGTTGGTCGTGCAGGTGGCAACCACTCGATGTGTCCCTTCACATCGATGTTTCTCTCTTCCTCCCTCTCCCTCCCGCTCTGTCTGAACAAAAAATGCAAAAATGTCCTCGGGTGAGGATAAAAAAAAATATATATATATGAACAATAAAATGATAATAAATACATATCTATCAACAATTGAATCTACATAATGACCAAGCAGAATAGACACACACTCATAGATACAGAGAACTTTTTGTTGATTGACAGATGGGAGGGGAGTTGGGTGAAAAAGATGAAGGGATTAGGAAGTACAAATTGGTTGTTAGACTAATGAACCTCAAAGGGAAGGGGGGAGGTGGGGTGGGAAGAGAGAAACAAACAAATAAATAAATAAATAAAACCAAGGAATAAATAAATAACAATACACATTATAGATTATGCTAAGCATTTGCATAATCTGCTATGATCTCCATGGATTGCAGATCGATATTAGTCTTTCAATCACAAGTCCAAGTGTTACCTCGTATCCTTTCACGCTGTCCCCCAGAGCTTCAACAATCCCCGAACACTCAAAACCTGGCACCAGGGGCGTCTTGGGAGGGTTGTCGATGTTTCCTTGTCTCACCATCAAGTCAATGAAGTTTAAACCACTGTGATGGGCAAATGTGAAAAGACAGAGATTCAAAATGAGATCCCAAAGCAAGCAATTGCCTGGCTTTTTCTTGTCTTCCCTCCTCTCCCCATCCTCCCCGCCCCGCTCTCTCTTTTCTTTTTTTTTTCTTTTCTTCTTTCTTTCTGGAAAAGCATGCCTAATAGTAACATCACTTAGCTCAATGTCACCAATAAAGCAAAACTCAATTATCTCTATGGACAAGTAATGCTTTCCTGGCAGTTAAAATAGCCATTGCAGAGTTTACACTCTAATTCAAAAGACAGTCCCTTTGCCCTCTCTGAGTCTACTTACTCTTACTTTAAAAATACACATTGACCAGCCTGGTCATTAGCCATTCTAGCACTTAATTGTGGGTAGAAACTACACTAGGAAGAAGTTATATGAAGACACATGGAAAGCAGCCAGACACAATGGCCATTAGCCAACCTATGAGAAAGAAAGAGAGAGAAAGGACCTAATTTAAAAGGTCCCAGAAGGACCGTCAGTCCTTAGCCATCACACACTCATCAGCACTGGGCCATAAACAGCACCCATAATGGTGAGTATGAGCCATCAAGAGACGATGTTATGTTCAGGGATAGACTGATGGATGTGGGAGTAGATAAGGGCTTTTTAAAAAAAACTTTTAGATATGTCTGGATAAGAGAAGTGATTTGGTATTTTCTATTAACATATTACTTTTAAATTAATAATATCATCATTAAAATATGTCAAAGTCTAGCCTGGCCAGTATGGCTCAGTGGATTGAGCACTGTCCCATGGATTGAGAGGTCCTGGTTCGATTCCCGGTCAGGGCACATGCCTGGGTTGTAGGCTCAATCCCCAATACGGGGTGTGCAGGAGGCAGCTGGTTGCTATCTCTCTCTCACATTGATGTTTCTATGTCTCTTTAAAAAATCCATAAAAACATTTAAAAAATATGTCAAAGTCATCACCTTGGAAAACCATATACTCAATTCTAATGATGCTCCAAACTATATAAATATTTTAAGAGCTACAGTTGGGAATTGCATTTAACACCCATTTATACTAATCAAATGAGAAAACATATCCCATTAAACATGTATTTTTTTTCTGCCCAATGTGGTTTTCATAGACTTCCTGGTTTTATAAACCACCCTCTAAGAAAGACTCAGGTTATAGACACCAAACTCCTGGGCCTGACCCAAAGCCCATTAACATCTGACCACAGCATCTCTTCCAAGCAAGGCAACTAGAACTATTTCTTAAACACAGTTTACTGACTTCTTTCTTGGCCTCTTTGGAGCCAAGGAAGCATCTAACTCCACCTGCTCTCAACTCATCAGTTTCATCCATAGAGAATGGATATTAACGAGGGGAGCACTTCCTGGAAAGGTGTGTTCAAGAACCACCATCTGCTGAGGATTTCCTGCCCACAGCTCCGGCAGGCTTCACCTGCTGCCCCCTGGAGTGCCCCTGACGTCTGCCCTCCGTGAAGGCAGCTGTGCGCCTCCTATTTCTCTGCCTCCAGAACATCTGCTGAATGAAGGAATATTCCTGAATATTCAAAAATCTGTGCTTCCAGGGTGCATACTAACTCTTTTTCAACAGCGGCCCCAGGATGCTCAGAGAAGTGGAAACATTTCTGAAGCACGTGTGTAGACTTCCAAAGGTCCAACTTTGAAGGTTGATCGTCGTTAGGGTCATTTATGAACCAAAATGTTCTCCGAGAACATGGCCAGTTTCTAAGGAGCTTGGGGAGTTCTGGGCACAAACCCCAGTTCCATCACTTCCACCCGTGTAACCTTGGAGAAGTTACTTAATCTCTCTAAGCCTCAGTTTCCCCATCTGTAAAATGGAGTTTATGGTAGTACCTGCCTCACAGAGTTGCGGGGAAAATAAATGAGTTAAGCACTTACATGGGGTGCCACCTATATAGTAAGTGCTCAATAAATGTTAGCCTTTAAATTTGCAACCTCTGTTAAGAAGGCAGAGGTATGTAATACATTTTAGGAAGACTCTGTTAAACAAGGATTAAAAATAGATTCAGAGCTGAAATAGAAAAACTTCAGCTGTCTATAAGCTTCACTTCTGTGAAATAGCCCATTTCCGACACAACCAAATAAATAAAGCATCACTGTATCACAATAAAAGGAATTTCTGTGTCCCAAATCAAACACTCCATCTCAGCTCACTGTTTTCCTTTGTATGAAAACCTGTGACTTCTCCAGACCCCGATGGAAAAATGCTGAAGAAGTTACTTGACGCCCCTGGAGAAGGGGGCATCCTAGATGCTCAGGACGCTGTTCAGTACGGCTGCCTTTATTTATTTAAAAAAAATTTTTTTTTATCCTCACCCGAGGACACTTTTGCATTTATCTTCAGATAGAGCAGGAAGGAGTGAGAGAGAGGAACATCGATGTGAGAGAGACACATCGAGTGGTTGCTACCTGCACGACCCCAACTGTGGCCGGGGACAAACTGCAACCGAGGTACGTGCCATTAGTGGGAACCGAACCCAGGACTCTCCAGTCCGTGGGCCGACGCTCTAACCGCTGAGCCAAACCGGCCAGGGCTATAGGGCTGCCTTTAATCTCCATCCATCGTGAAATGTGCACGGTGATGGTAAACCGAGAGCCAGCTACCCAACCCCAGTGAGAAGGACCAAGACTGACTATGAAATCCTATAGCATCCCATTTCCTCAAGGAGGTGTGATTCCATCAGGGTTATGGAGGATGCCACCTGTCTTCAGGAAAAACATGTGAAGCAGGCATATCCTGGGGGACAGGGAATGAGTCAGCGTTGTTGATCTCGGCACGAAGGAGAGGTGGACAGTTGTTAACGGAGCACCTTTACATGTTACGCCAGACGTGTTTCATGGTGCCTGCCCACACGCCTCCTGCTGAGAGGGACACAGCGAGCATTTACTGAGGGTTTCATTTGTGGCAGGAACTGTGTTAAGTGCTTTACTTTTGTTATTTAAAACTCATCAATACTCCTATGAGGTGGGAACTATCATACCCATTCTTCAGGTGAGGAAACTGAGACTCGGCAAGATTAAGTAACTTGCTTAAGGTCGCAGCTTTAGAAACTGTTAAAATTCAAGGGTTAGAATTCAAGCAAATTCTGGAACCCGAGCTATTACACATGACCTAGAGCTCTTTATGGAAACTTGACCCACGGCCCTTCCTGAAGAGGCACACCCAAGATGCCATGTTTATGACCTACTCTCTTTGACAGGGGACCACACCAGCGGTGGGCCCGGTGTTGGAGGAGCAGCCACTCATACTCTAGGCAGGAACCCATTGTTTCACATCAGTTAAAGGAGCTGGACACTGGCTCAAACACCATGAATTGGGGAACGTGCAGCGAGTGAACAACTTAGTACCAGAAAGGGTGTCGAAAGGTAGAACCGAGCTTGAGAGACCTAGGCGACCTGCGCTTTGGGGAAGCATAAGTGAAAAAGTCAGTAGGTAGGAGGATGGCAACAAAAGAAAAAACATGAAGAGCAGTAGCGTCAACCCAACAGTCTACACCAGGATCAGCCTCACAGTCTTCACTGCTGTGACCAAGGATGGGAGGGTCCAGTCTTCAGGTGGTGAGGCCCAGCCCCAGTGTGCCTCCTGCTCTCTGAGGTCCAAGAGTTTTGTTTCTTTTTGGTTTTTGTTGTTACTTCACATGTCTTTATAATAGAACCTGTTGGTTTTGGTTATGTGTGCGGTCTCTGTCTCATAAAACCAAAAGATACAAACTAAAACAAAGACCACAATAAATAACCCTACATCTTACCGACTAGACGGTCATTACTGACCTCACTGTGTTTTCAGACAAAACCAGTAACATTGTTGAGAGATAAGTTATTTGCCCATGGCCACAGACATGGGAAGCCATGGACTTAAACTCCTGGGTCCATCTGAAACTTTTCTTTTCCGCCACAACAGGAAGAAAACATGCAGATCAAGCTACACACATCTTCATAATTACGGTTTCCAGTATTCTCTAAGATAATTTCATTTTCACCTGGAAATTTGGGGGGGCTGGCAAACAACTGCCTGATGACTCAGACCCAAACAGGGGGTGACAGTAAGATGTCTCTCCTGGGTAATTTTTATATGACTTTAAACATTTAAGATCATTGCAACAATAAAACAGTGCTAGAAAGTACTTGACATAATGTTCTGCTAGGTAATCCTATATTTTCAAACACTGGTATAATTTTACTAAATAAGACTTTTTTTTTCCCTTCCTCTCCCTACTAAATTATTAGTCAAAGGCTAGGCTTGAAGGGTTATTACCGGGACATAGCCTCCTGAAGGAATGGAGGCAGAGGTTTGAGATAAGGACCCTAAAAAACTCCAATCACAGGATGAGGGATTTGATAGAAGATACAGGGACATTTGGGGTTAAATAGTAACACTCTTACATTTGCTTAGCGCAGTGCAGTTTACTGTGTGCTTTCAAACACACCTCATTAAACCTTGTAACAATCCCCCAAAGATAAGAATTGCAGCTATTATTGTTCCCATAAATAGATGTGAACATTGAGACTCAGATCAGAAAGCTAACTTGTTGAAGACAATATGATTAGTACATGGCAGGCAGAACTGATACTTGAATTAAGGTCTTTAAACTCCTTGCTCAGCCCAGCCAGTGTGGCTCAGTGCTTGAGCGTTGACCCATGCACTAAGAGGTCGCCAGTTCAATTCCTGGTGAGGGCACATGCCCAGGCTATGGCCCAATCCCCAGTGTGGGGCATGCAGGAAGTGGCCAATCCGTGTTCTCTCTCATCAATGTTTCTCTCTCTCTCCTTCTCCCTTTCTCTCTCTCTAAAATCAGTAATGGAAAAAAAAATAAAAAATAAACTCCTTTGCTCATGGTATATCCTATGACACCATGACATCTCAAATGCAAATAAACTAAATGTTACTGAAATCAATACTTTCAAGATTCGGGGACAATAAGACTAAAAGGAAATGGTGAAAGCAAACAGATGCAGGGTTCTTGGGTTCCTGAGT